CATTAAAGGGTACCTGGGGCAATAGGGTTAAACAATTAGCAATTATCACTTATCACCCAGTTTTATCAAATGTTGCTTGTTGAAAGGATTTTAAAAATTTTCATTGTTAATACCTTCAGAACATAACTGATATCACATATATATAAAACACTTGCACATTACAGATTATAATACATAACATTAAGTTACACACAAAGTCTTAAAGACGTGAACACAAGTCCCAGCAATTAGAAAAAAATAGCTTATTACCAAATAAGCTCATGCATAAAGTTATTATATAATAGGAGAAATAATTTATCCTAAACTATTTTATATCTAGGTCTATAAATAGCTCTGTATATAAATTATGATTACAGTAGTACCTTATTAAGGTTTTACTAAACAAACACTTTCCAGTAGATCCTTAACTGCAAAAAAACAATGATGATAGAAATTTTAGTATGGAAAAAAAAATCAAAACCTACAAAGTTTGACTTTTTCTTGTCAAAGGTTACGAATGAGAGGTAGAATTCCCTACCACTGGTATACCTCAATGATAAATCAAGTGATAGACTGGAATTTACATTTATAAATCTCATTATGTTATCAACTGTATACTGCATTATATCATCACCACAACCAATAATACATTTCATTTTATCACTATTAGAATACCAAACAGTCATCCGTAAGAATATTACATTTTATCATCAGACGTACATATCACAACTATCAATATTATGTCACCATTTGGATAACATCACCATTAATTTCATAATATAACATATCAATCAATTGTAATTCATTTAATTAGCAATATACATTTATGTATCATCAGTTGTATTCCATCAACATTAGCTATATTACATGTCATGAACAGTATACTATCAACTTATCAATATTATATCACATGTTCCACACATGTTAAAGGTCATGTTCTGAAACGGCAGTGTGGCAAAAAGTCACTCACCTGTTGGATTGTTTTGTGAAGCAGTTTTGAGCTGACCACTCGTGTGCATTTTCTCCTGGTTCAAATCTAACAGTCTATCATTCAACTCCTGTGAAATAAAGAAACTTATAACACAACTACTACTGAATGAATATCTACTTACCAAGTAACTTTAAATGCTAAGTTCAATTTTTTCCAATTAGGCCAAGCATGTAGGACTTAATTAACATAACAGCCCAAGAAAAATGGCTAAATTCTGTTGTGCGTTTTTTTTTTATAACTTTGCATAAAACTGTACAACGCTATCCCCAATTTTGCACTGAAAGATTAGGGGAAAGGTAAATAATCAACAGCATGTTATGAGCTACTCTTACCAAGGAACACAATTTTCTAGCAATGAGAGTCAAACCTTGAATCATCAGATTCACAGTCCAGACACATTAACCACTAGGCAATGCCTAAATGGAAGTGCAAGGAAATATAAGATTTTGGTCAAATCTTCTGAATTAATTTTGAAGATGCTACTCAATATTTAGTTGACAACAAAAGCAAATTCTCTGAGGTCTTTCCAGAGGTTAATTAAGAACAGCAGTTTAAAAAGATAACCATAGATCATAAAAAATGTAAATCAACAGATTTATTGTATTTATGCAATTTCTGAAAATTTATGTTGTAATATTATGAAATGATAAACAATTGAAGATTTATTTATACTTAAAAACTATAAACATTTGAAATCAATGATCTTTGGATTATTAGAGAATGCATATTAAAAGAAAAATGATAGTTATTTTCACATTGAAAATTAAAAATTAAGTCCTGGCAAATTAACATAATAGTGATAAAATTCAAGTTTCACATTATTTTCATCACTTAAACCTACATATGTTTCATATCATTAAAAGGTTTTCCTACAGATTTGTATATGCACATTTAATTTTATCTTTGATGACCAAAACTTTTGAAATTGTCATCTACTAGTAATGAGTTTATTAAACATACATACAAAACTGTGAAAAATATATTAAAGCATTATGCTACTAACCTTCATCTGTTGCTTCATACTGTTTAATTCTGACAGCTTAGTATCTCTCTGGACTCTCATGTCATCAATGGAAGATTTTATATCTGTTACACCTTTTCTGGTCTCTGACACTTTCTGTGACAGCTCATTTATTTTGTTGTTCTACAAAGATAAATGTAACTTAATAAACAATTCAATGTACATCTCCACAACAAACTTAAATTCTTAAACCTTTATCTAAAAATAATTGTCAGTTAACTAGTTCTAGCTGAGTATATCATTACTTTTTAGGGATACATGTTACAGATACTCTTCATAAAATCAGACCAAAGACAGAAATTTTACCTGACCTACCCTGTTTCAGAATGCCTGATCTTAGCACTTTTTAGTAAATAACTAAGAAATTATTCAATTTATTGCGACTTGGAGTTTTCATTAAAATAAGAATATTGGAATATCTTTTACCAACCATACTAACTTTTTGACACTCCAACTCAAACATTTTTATGAGATTAAAATCCAAAACTGAAATAAGACAGCATTGGTATACTGGCTAGAATGGGTGTCTTGTATTATAAACTCATCAAAATCATTCAGCAGCATTCTTTCGATAATTGAAGATGATGTAGAGAAGGGGAAGAATACATTATACAAAAAAAGAAAACAACTATGTGTTATCTTAACACACAAGTTGGGACCAACTAAAAATTAGCTTAACCTTCCTGTCTGTTAATATTTCACTAACCACACGTGTACTTGGTTTACAAAATAAATAATGCATTCCTGCCAAATTTGGTGTCAATTGTTTTAATCACATTATCATAACATAGAAACATTAAAACCAATAACCACCGCCACTCAAAAGTAAACTGCTACAAACAAAGGGAAACTGCTACAGGCTTTGATTTCCATACTCTTTTTATTTTTATTTCAGGCACCACATGATTAGCCCAGCACTGCTGTCTTTTAAGAAACATAGCTTCTACGCTGGGCATAACTGTGCCCTTCAAAACCTCTTTGTTAATGTTTCGGTTTTCCAAAGGTATATTCAGGGTCACTCTGAAATGTATAAATCTCCGCTGAATATAGTAGGGAGTACCAGGACTAGATATAATGCACATTTGGTTTACGGTCATATATCATGCTGTTTCCAGACTCTCTCATATAATTGCTCAAAAGAGGCACATGCCACTTGGATCCTTTGGTCGAGTTCTGCATCAAGGCTGTTGCTGATATTTGGAAGATGAATATTTACAAACACTTTCATATAGTTTTTCAAAATCAAAAACTATATTTACCAGCTGTTCCAGTTCATAAGTAAGGTTTTTACTGTGGTTTTTCAGATGGCACACTGCTTCTTGTTCTTTCTGTCGCTGAGCCATCAGTTCTTGTTTTCTCTGTCGTTCCCACTCTAATTGTCGCTGCCTCTCCATTTCTCTTCTTGCTGCCTGTCATGGAAAGGAAAAAACAAACACTTTTAGATTTGTATAAACTTATTCACTTAGAGCCTTTCTCTATTCTAAACAAAAATAGTATGTCAAGAAACAACAGTGTATAAATAAATCTCAAATTGACCTTTTGTGTTTCCATATTATAACTTTTAATGTTTTGTGTATCTTCCCTAATTATTAAGTCTATTGTAGACAAAAAATCAAAACCTTTAATGAAGTATTTTCATTAAAATTTTCTCCACAAACATAGAGTCATAGTGTTGATTGCTCCGAGTGCAGTGATTTTCATGTTAAAATAAAAAATACCATTCTTCATCTGAAAATTGTCATATTTCATTTGCATAACCTCTAAAATCTCCTATATAAATTTCAAATGGTTATTTTTCTTCAGTATAATTATAACAGTTTCTACATTGCAAGGGATTACATTTTACAAGTAAATTAACTCTCTTTTGCAGGTCAAACTGTGCATGCCACGACATTTTATTGAGTTACATTTGAAATTTAATTAAACTACTTAATTATCATGGTATATGAATAAACTCGACATCAAAACATAGATAAATCAATTTTAATATTAAAGAAGTTTGAAGTTTTTAGCATAATAAGGAAATATTTAAAAACAACCTCAATCTCCAATTCTCACATGAATTGTGACATCTGTTCTTTAGTCTTCACCTCTTCTTTAATATATTTATCACCCCTCTGAGAAGTCACAATTTGCTAAGAGATTTCTCCAACATTTAATTATACTGTATTCATAACCAATAAAAACCCAAGGAAATTTGCTATAAAATGATGTATTATATGAAATTATATCCTGTAAAGATAATTGATATAAAACTTTTTTTTGAGGCTAATTTCCCATGGGAAACACATCAAGTAGTTTAGTTGAATTCTTAACAGCTTTTGACATGTAGCTAGAGTTGGAAAAATTGTAAGTTATCAGACACTGCCTGCTTTTTCCATGTTATTATTCTGTGTTCTTCGGTGCATTATTTAATTAAAGAAAAAAATGTTTTTGAGAAGTAATAGCATTAGTATAAAATATTAGTTAATGACTATTAATGATGTGTGGGAACCCTGATACATCTGCTTCTACTTGAATTTCATTGTTTTATTGCCCTTTGAACCATGTCTAACAATTATTCGCGCCATTATAAGTCATAAATCACTTGATGATTGTACAGCTCACATTACACTATCAAATTATATTATGCACGAGGCACTTGTGAGCACACCTTGTGAAAACTTATTACATTATTATTATTATTACTTATTTTACCTAATCTAGCTTTAACTAAGAAAAAAGTTTCTTATTTTTACATTTTAGTTAACTTTACAACAATAAACACATGAAAAACAAAAAATAAAATACCTACCTAGATCTTTTTTTTCTATTGATGGCTAATTTTATACCAATGGTACTACAGCACTAAATAATGCTCCAAAGAACAAAAATATGTAAAAAGCATAATATGCCCCATAACTACCACAATTTTTCTAGCTTTCTAACTAAGCGACAAGGCCAATTAGAAATTCTGCTAAACTTGATGTACTTCCAGTGAGGAATGAAGCTTGAAGTGAAACTGACAATTCTCTGCAGAGAAAATAACATATGTCATTTGATACAGTAAAACCTTCACTTTGTTTTGGCTATAAATGATACACCACAGCTGGCCTAAGAACAATTAGGTATTAGTTTATTGGCAAGCAACGATATATATATTGTCAAGCATTACCAAAAAAGGAGCGTGGAAGCATTCCTGACAGAATGACAAAGCAAATAAACCTTTAATGTTAGTGATGCTTTGCTTCAGAAATGATAACATTATAATGAGTAATTTATGCTTAATTTTTTATTTCTTGAAGGGGAGGTCAATAAATTACAGAAGAGAGGATGCCTAGAGAGAGAAAATGTCACAATTCTCGTCCTACTGGATAATTCTAGATTGTTTTTTTTTAAATATTGCTTTATAAAAGTAAGAACTTAAAATATGGATAACTGGTTTCATTTTTATGCTATATTTATTGGTATATCATGATATAAAAATAGTTGAATTAAATATTGAATTTAACTCACTAAATCCTCATGACGTGTTTTATAAAAAGTTTGAAATCAAGAGTACATCCTAGAAAATATTTTAATATCCCTTTTATGGAAAAGTCATGGATTTCACAGTTACCAAGTTACACATCTTTAAATATTTTGAAAACTGCAACATCCATTTGTAGGCCAATAACCTCTAAATCATTATGTATGTTTCTTTAGAACTATGTAGGAAGCAATGCCAAAATTTTCCAAAGTATCTAGCCTAAAATATAAAATTTATTTAATAGTTAACTATAAATGGAAAGCTTGCTTTGTTTAGTGCCATCCAACATAAATAAGGTAACAGCATTGCACTTTTATTATAGTGACTGATCAAAAAGATGTTTGAAGCATTAAAAATGCATATAATATCAAATAATAAGTCAAAGACTTTATAACATAGTGAAAAATGCAATTCAGTTGTGGGAATACTGCTATAAAGAAGTGATATGTTAAAATCTAAAACAGTAGTCTATAGTAACATTAATATTCTGGACATATTGAAATTCTCTAATACAAGCAAAATATTAACTCAAAATAATGCTTCTGTTCTATTTTTTCTTCAGCTTGTAATATAAAAAAATTACACATTTTTCTTATCACCTCTCTCTGTTCAAGTACTTTTCGCCTTTGTTCTTCTTTCTCTTGTTCAATTTCTCGTTGTTTAGCAAGTTGTTTCTCAAGTTCTAGTTGACGTCTTCTCTCTTGCTCTTGCCTACAATTAGAAATTACAATTAATTACCAAAAACAAATATCATAAACTAACACTTTTGAAAAGCAGATGTTTTCTTTTTCCTAATTCCTCCCTGAAAATGGAAAGTCAATCTATTTTCTAAAAACACTCAGGCTACTGGATATCTTATGTTATTATTGAACTTTACAAAAATATAGAAAAGACTGATACTCTCAATTACAACCTAGGTAAAAAAAAAAAAAAAAAAAACAAATTACAAAGGGTCTGATGACACAGAAATAAGACTGGTTTTCTAGATACAGGGAGACAGGCATACATTTTTCGCTGTGCTAAGAGAATTTAAAAAGTCATACTATAATTCTCAACAAATGCATACTGTTATAAATAAACAAAATGAACATTCCTTGATGATCAGAGAGTTAAGAAACAGTTTATCAACAGAACGTATACAAAAGAGCAAAAATGCATGAACTTGACATCAGAATAAATACACATAGAAGAGAAGAATAAAAACTGCTATTGGTTTTCATCTTTCTCAGGCTTTGCATTTAGAAAATGTGTAAACAAAAATATTAGGTACAGAAAAACAGCAGTTAGAAAATTGTATTTACCGACTCCTTTCACAAGTCACTTTCCACTTACATGAACTGGATAAATATAGCAGATATACACACAACACTCATATCAAAGCTAAGCTTATAGTCAACTCAATCCCTTGGATCAGAGTGTATCTGCAAGTCTGGTGGGCCGTTTATAACCATCTTTTGTCATTCCATATGTTATTTCAATGAGGAAAATTGTATTGCATTTGTTTTTCAGAAAAGGAAACTGACTGTAAGGAATTGTTGGAAAAAATGCTTGGATTTCAACGCAATGGGTGCATCCAGCACAATGAAATGCTCATGTTTGCAAAGTAGCTGCTGGGATTTTTTTTCAGCTGGATGCTACTGTTCCTAGTCATTTTACTAAGCACAAGAAAATACTGCTTCCAAAGTGAGTGCTTTTTTGACAGTTGTATTTTTGTAAGGGTCAAAGGGGAGATATTCAATTCAATTAAAATCAATTTATTCGACATGGTACAGTAAAGTCACGCATGTATATAATACCGATATGGGAAAAATAAAAAAACATTCCTCCCTTTATAAAGGTTTTCCATTCATGCTCCTATCTTTGAAACATTTCTTTCAATCAGTTGACAGAGGAACTCCTATTTTCTGCATGAAATTCACACACAAAAAGAAATACTGTTCTTAAGCTTTTTTCCTCCAATTACCCATTCAGCACATATGAAGACTGATGGATTAATGCTGATACTGATATGAAATTTTAGGAATTGCAAAAAATTAAACAATTTTCCTGCACTTTTCCAAAGAAGCATTTCCATATCTTTGTATTTTTTGTACAAGTAACTATTCAGGAGATACAAATGGTGACAGACAGGCATTTAGCTAATATTTCTAGATTTAATGAACATTTTAATTTATCCTTGAATTTACACTAGCCTTAAGCTGAAAGCAATCTCTCAATCTTCAAACTTTTTCTGACCATACTGTTAGATGTAAATGTACATCTAATTTTTCAATATACATTATCTACCACAAATATTAACTTTTTAAAGAAAGGTCAAATAACATAAATGGCAGTTGTAGGTCAGGCAAGAGTTGGAAACTTATTTTAATCTTTAGCATATGAATATCTCGACACCTTTACATAACTAAGTGTAACAGAAGAAAATCACAAGACTGCAATAAATCTGAAGAAAATTCAAAAGGTGGCTCAAACTAACAAAAAAGAATCTTGACACCTATGTTTACCTCTTTCTGTAAAAATGGTCAGAGTGTAAGTGATGGCCTTTTATAGTGCTACATTTAAAAATTGATGAAACAACTTTATTAATAACATACATGTATATCTCTAGTATGAAAACACAGGTTATAATTCAATTTTTATATTATCTACATTTTAACCCTTTAATTTCAAAAAAATTAAAAAAACCAAAACAAGTAAAAGCAAAGAAAAATAATTAATATCCTGTTAGAATAATACAGTGACTGAAAAAGTCAAGTCTGTTATCACATAATAGTTTTAGATTCTTCTTTTTTTGCTTGTATGGGTTTTAAGGGGCATGGGATATACTAATCAATTAACTGAATGTAATTGACTAATGAGCTCATCAATTAAACAATTAACAAATACCACTAATCACCTTTCAAAGTGTTTCATTTAAAACTTTATTATCAACATAAATCTATAAACCTGGAACAAAAACTTACATTATAATTACAATTTCTCTATTATATATCTTTTAACCTCTTAATTTCAAAAAGAAATTTTTAAAAACCACAACCTTCCTTTTCTATTTCACTTCAAAACTTTATACCTTTTAAAATAGGCTACTACAGTTTCCAGCTAATAACAAATACAAATTTTACATAATTAATGTAAGTATCTAAAATTATTATCTTTATTCATTATGGTTTCCATATTACATCTTTTCATACACTTTGTGTATCTTCACAAAATTTGACAAGTAAACATTAGAAGTTGTTTGTACACAAAATATCAGTTTTATAATGAAGTATTTGTATTAAAGATTTTTCTATAAATACATTGAGCTTCACACCATTATAAGTTGTAAATTACTTGGCAAAGATATGGCTCATGCTAAGCTATCAAATTAAATTACACATGAGCTACTCACTAACTACTCACAAATGTACCTTTTAAGTTTTTTTATTATATTATTATTTATCTAATATAAAAAATTTACTATTTTTTATATTTTAGTTACTTTTATAATAATAAATAAAGAATACACATGAAAAACAAGAAATACAGTACATACTTGGGTCTATTCTTTTTTGCTCTTTACCATCAATGACACTTAACCCTACTTTATTATACTAATGGTGCTACTGTACTAAATAATTTTTCTTTTATAAAATAATGCACCATAGAACACAGAATAATAAAGTGGAAAAAGCAGACTATCTCATAACTATACACAATTTTTCTGGCATTCTAACTATGCAGCAAGAGCCATTCAAATTTCATTTAAGCTTGTTGGAATCAAGCTTGAACTGAAAACAAAATTTAAAATACTCTTTACAGAAAACAATGGAATATGGATGAAAACCTTGGCTTTATATTGGTTATAAATAATATAGTATTTAAAATTACAGAGAACTATTGGCAATTTGTGAAACAGAGGTTGTGACAGGTGGGTGTAGAAAGAAGGGTCTGACTGTCTATTTCATGGCTGTGTATCCAAATAAGATTAAAGGCTGTGAAAATTATGCTCTGCTCGAGTGATGATGGTCAGGACTGCATTAATCGTGGCACAGTCATGCACTGTTTAACTCTATTTTATCACTAAATCTTCATATTTAATCTGTTATATGTTCTATTTTTACTCAATACAGACTAGATCTACCTCGTAACCACCATAATAAAATACAAAATAAATCAAAATTACAATTTTTTCTTTCTAGAATTACTTCAAACTGTAGCAGGAAACATTTCTTTACACTAAATAGTTTAAAACTTCTTAACCTTATACAACTGTTTATAATTAAATATTATTGTTTTATTCCCTTTTAGATCGAGATTTTTAAAATACCTGCCATAAGAAGTGTCAAAATATGCAGTAACATGAAGCAACTGTTACACTAACCAAGTTACATAGAGCACACGCTACTCATGAACTGTTAGTCCTAGCACATGTACCTCATAGAAATTTTTATTATTATTATTATTTACATTATTTCCTAATTTAACTTTATCTAGCCTAAATTCTTTAAGTTTTACTATTTTGGGTACTTTTATAATAATAAATAAATAATAGGTAAGAAAACAAATAATATAACACTCACCTGTGTAGTTTTTTTTTTTGCCATCAACTGTCCTATCTCAGCCCTACTACTTTACATCAATGCTACTAGTCCACAAAATAATTTTTCAAAGTAAATAATACAAAGAATAATTTCATGTGAACAGCTGAGAAAATGGTCTTTCTGCAAGAAATTGTCTGGCTCTCTAATCTAAGTTAGAAATTCAACTTTAGCTCCCACTATGTTCTCATAGGAAAAAAAGTTTTCACTTCAGCTAAATTGTCAATTATCTGTAACACCACGTGGTGTAAAACATATGCCAATCAATCAATTGAAATCTAAGCTATCTATTGGTTATAAATTTAATGGCAGTCGGGCTTAGTAAAATCTATTAACAAATTGGAATTTACAGCAAAGTAGTAGGCATGGAGATTGGGTCAAAACTATATATTCATTTGACCTTTTAATGAATATTCATCTGTTCATTTTAACTATTAAAAGTGCTTTGTACATAAGAAAGCCTTAAATTACACAAGTTTATAAAACTTCAACAAAAAGTAAGTATTCTTTTTTTAAAACTAATTGATAATAGCTTTATTATACAATATATTCCCTAAATATCTTGTTAAACTGTTCTATTGACCTACCTGGTCAATAAATGACAACATAAAGTAATTAATGTATATCATAGGGCATGATATGACAATTAATTTTTTTTTATAAGTGAATGAAAATTAAATTGTTACCCTTAAATTTATGTAGAAAATAGAGCTAAGAGCAATGAGGGGGAATTATATATTATTTTATTTTGGCACCTTTTTTTAATGTAATTGTTAAATTACTTCATTCATAAACACATGCAATACACATGCATGTTTCTTGTATTATGTAATCATAGAATAATTCTTGAAAATCATTTTTATCTTTTACTATGGGTGTTCTGAAACATGGAAAAAAATATGAAAGTGGTTTCCAGAAAAGGAAAAAAAAACAAAAGAAGAAGCTAAAAAAAGGGAAAATCTGCTTTAGAAAAAGTTCCCAAGTTTTTCTCAGTTTGTGAGGAAACAGAACAACAGAACAACCCATCCAGCCCTTTCAAGAACAAAGCTTCTACCCTGAGTGATTCTCAACCCACTGTAGCAACTAAAAATTCTAGTAAAAGTGCTGGTTCATCCCCTTATGATTCGCAAAAGGAAGGAACATGTCAGCTTGAAAATCTCGGTACTAATTCTGACGATGAAGACAATCTCTTGTCTGATCCAGCATTATGGTCAGTGGACAGGAAAAAAAATAGTATTTTGGACTCCCAAAAGTATGATTCCAAAACAAAATATAGCAGAGCAAGATTTTTCAGTATCCAAAAGAGGTAAGTATTTAACAGCTGTTCAGAGATGCTGTTCCTTGAACTTTAAGATTAAACTAAGAAACAGCAAAACAGAAAAGAGATCGGTTGATCTATTCACCTTATTCTGGGAAAATTTTGCTTTGTTTGCATTCTTTTTAAAGATTCTGATGTCTATTTAGTAAAAGGATTCTGCAATTGGTCGCATGGCTCTAGAGTTATAAAAAACAATGAAAAGGTGAAGCTGTTTTGTATGCTGCTGGATGGGACAAACTAATAGCATAGAAACTATGGATTCTAAGTTAAACAACGATTTAGAAAATGAAATTATGATATCGGTGGAAGGTATTGCATCAAGTTAAAGGGACTCAAAAAAATTAGTGCACCAGGGTCTCAAACTGCTATCTAAGTACAACCACTGCATATAAAATTGCTTCAAGGAATAAATTTTATGCTAAAATTCAAATTCCTGTAAGCTGCAAGTCAGATAAAAAATTCACAATTCTTCTAGTTCAAAAGTTACAGTGCCTCTAAAAAAATGTAATAATATACTAAATTCAAAATGTCTTTAAATGGAACTGCAGTTTAATACACATTTAATCCATAAATCTCACTATACCTGATTCTTTCCTTCCGTTCTTGTTCTTCCCTTTCTTTTCTTTCACGTTCTTCCTGTTCTTTTCTTTGAATTTCCAGTAAAGCTTGTCGTCGTTTTTCCAGTTCTGCTTGACCCTTCTCAAAATTCTCCCTTCGTCTATCTTCAAATGTAGCTAATTGAAATTTTATCACAGATTAATAACTTTACATTATGTATGTGCAATACCTAAGAATCTTTGTGTGTATGAGTGAGACTGGGATAAAACAGTTAAAAACAGAAGTGAAAAAATCTAATCAAGGAAATTTCTCATTTTACACATCTTCAAAAGTATAATCTACCCATGCATGTTCAATTTCTTGACATGCTTTGAAAACCAGGGTACACCTTTTATTATCCACATCATAGTTTAATGTAATTGGTTTTGTCTTTTGGTCTATTAATGCCAAAGATGCTTTTCATCACAGGTTCAGATTTGCTCTTGCTAATATTTTCCTTTCTATTAACAAAAACTTACTAAACTGTCTTAGTTTTGTTTAACCCACACAGGTAATGAAAAGAAGGAACAAAATATTTCACAGAAAAGAAAATGGAACCAGAAGTGTCACAGAATTGACTGACATAATCAAGGAAGAAAGTACTCACCACGAGTGCAACTTAAATACACCAGTATTTAGCCCATCTGCCCAACACACAAGATAAATCCATACACAATGAAATAAAACAATAAACCATGGATGCAAAAACTGATAAGTGGTACAATATTAAATATAGAAGACAAACATAATTACTGATACAGAAGAAAAGCACAATCCATAGCTCTATCCCAAATTAAACTTTCAAAAAGATAAAGCTCTTCTGTAAGTAAAATAAGTAGTTTCCAAGTTAACATTTTCTTAAATCAAAAATGTATTTCCAATAATACTTACTTTTGCTCACACTGCAGCTATTACTTAACTGCCAGTTTTCTTCCTTTGTTTTATAAATAATGCATTTTTAATTGAATATTTCAGTTGGTTAATAATGCTTAAAAGTGTATAATATAAAATTTACAAAATATCAGATCTAGTCAATTCTCACATTAAACATGTAATTATATATATTTACAAAATCGCATTATGTGATGGACTGAACTTATTATGATCAAGTTAAAATTGCTGAACGTATTACATACTTACTTCCTCTCATGTTACAGCTATTACTCGACTGCCAGGGTTTTTATTTCTTTGCTCATCTAAGCATTGGTCTGAATTTTTCTTGCTTGCCCCAGACTTCTATTCCCCACTTAATTGCCCTTGGTGATATCTATCATATGATGCTCTCCACCTACATCAATGTGCTCTCTATCCAGGTACTGTATATAAGCACCTCATTCAGATAATATCACTTTTTTTGAGACTGAGAATTAGAAGAAGATATTGATTTCTCCAAGCCCGTTCCTTTGGCTGTGGTTTCGCTAGATAGTAGATAGGGACAGTGGGAATCTTGTTAATCCATTCTAGCGCATCACTAATTAGATGACGAGGCATTTGGCTACCATAAGAGAGTCATTCAGGGTTTGAATTATTCCACATTCATAGCTAGGGTAATCGTGAGTGGATACCAACCTGAAGCCGTAGAGTGATGTGTTCCAAACCACTGGAATCAGGACCAGAAGGTAAGCAACACTGAAGTGGACAAATCTTTTCCTCAACCTGAAGAAGTCCGAAAGGCAACACCCCAAACTCGAAATGATGGGATCCTGTATGCCATACTCAAAACAGTCTGGAAGTAGAAACACCCATCTTCATTCCCCAACTGAGTGGGCAAGGTAAGTTCTTCTTGTCACTGGAATTATGGGGAGGATGTGGAAAAATTGTGCTCAACCAAGGACCCAAGATGGGACTACTCTGCATTAAGAATTACAAGGAGACAAAGGACCCTCTTCCATGAACAATGTACTGAACCAATATTGATCAAAAAGAAGGGCTATGCTCAACCCAACCGGATAGCTGAGCATCAAATCTGAACTGGTATTATGAGTAGACTCCCACGTAAGTTGGTGCCTCTCCAACCAACATCTGGAGAAAAAAAATCCAGGTACCCAGGTAGAAGGGCCAACTTTGCTCTCTTCTCTAAGAGTGGAGGAATTTACTAGAACACCCTGGAGGAAGAACCTATGTCGACTACTGCAGTGACTGGAAACCGGATATGGTAAGAACTCCCTAGCTCCATTAGTAGAATCCGGCAGCCCTGAGGAACTGCTCTGGAAACAGTGCAATAGGTGAACGAAGTTCCCCAAATTTTTAAAAGCATACTGACCCACATTTATTCAATCCAATGATCGGCAGGCTCCCCTTATGCTGTACTCAAGAATATCCAAGAGTGGCAGTCAAGCAAAGTCCAGTAATACCACCCGGTCAGGCTCTAGGTGGTCTTATGGAACACCTCATTTATACAGAGCCTGTTGCAACCTAGATAGAGTATAGTGAATTAGTGGATGCTAGTATAGAAATGGTTTGATAAAAGCACACTTGCCTGGGTAACACTCACCACAAAGTGGTATCCTGTAAAAATGAGGAAAGGGATCCTGAAAGGTAAAGAAGAGAAAAGAGTAGCAATGAAAATACTCACCCCTCTGTATAATCTAATGAAAGTGGTTTAGTCAAAAACCATTAGATGAAGATACTGATACACCATGCAAATAATGTGAGATAAAAGTATTGGGGAGGTCCACATATCATCTCACACAATGTCCTCCAGTAGACAATTCAACCAGGTCGCAAGGGCAGAAATGTGATGAATATGATGAGATGTGACTTGCAGAATTCTCCTTGCCTTGAAAGAGAGCCCAGAAAACGCATTATGGATCAATTTTGTACCAATCCTGTCAATGTAACCAGTGATAAGTCTTAGGAAACTGAATGATCCCAATGAATAAAGTTGTTGTCTAGCATCTCTAAAGGCAACAAAACCTTCAAGACCCTCACTGGACATAACAAACAATCGAGATCTGGTAAGTCATAAAAGTGAGAAATAGTGATCAGATGAACTGATGAAAAGGATTTATCCTCTTACATGGTTGCCAGTGTCTTAGGGAAGAAGAACCTATCTGAGGACATAGGTAGAATGACAAAGCGTCCTGTGCACAATCAGTGCAAACCAGTGATACACGGCACATGAGGCTAAATTGTCAAATGGGTGTTGTGAAAGGGGATGTAATTTCACCTTAATATACAAGTAAGGTAACTAAAATGGCAGTTTGGGATGAAAGACCAAAAATGATGTTAGGAAGCTGGAAAGTACTGGGGACTCAATGAATTTGTATCTCAAGTACCAAAATGTAGTGGATAAGGCCCCCTTATACAGGGCGATTATGAAAGATGCAAAACCCTTGTCAAATAGCCAGGTCAAAAAACAAGTTATGGTTGGCCCTTCTGATCAAAGGGGTTTCAACCTCCTCTCAATACACCATTGCCAATGTGTGTGCCATTTCCGTTGATAAATGTCAATCAGGGGACTAAGCAAAGACTGAAACAGATACAAGCAACCTTAGAAAATAAACCCCAACACCATGTGAAGGACTGAATAACATCCATGTCTGAAGTTTAAGCTTCTAGATATCCACATGAACAATGTCAGATCATGGCTGCCTCCATTGAGATAGCCAAAAAGAAAGTGGAAGAGGTGGGTACTCCTAAAGGCACCACAGAAGCAGACCCCATATCTTAGTATTGTTCTAATCTAACCACCCCCTTGAGAGAGAAGATAATAATCATGAATAAGGAAATGGGGAAATCCAATGAATCGCTGCTCATAATCCATTGGTTGCATAAAGACCAATGAGGGATCTCTTGTGCACTCATCCCAACAAAGAAACAAGGGATTTGAATAAATCCCACATTTCCAAAAGAGAAAGAACAATCTGTGCAGTGGGAGAAAGAGAGGTGATAAAGAAAGGCTCAAACTCCTTGTTCCATAGCTTGGAGCCAGATGACAGTTGGCTGAGCCCGACTGAGATACGTGATGAAAAAAATATCCAGACTGACAATATATTGTGTTAGAGAAAGAATAGACGACTCAGCTCTGATAATGAAGTGTGCCTTGGTTGTTTCAGAAAGTAGAATCTGGGTGTGACATTTTGCTAATTGACAAGATGGTGCCAGCAGTAACCAGTTATCCATGGAATAGTGCATGAACAAGTTTAGGGAAAGGAGGTGACAAGAAAAACTCATACAATTTAGCAGAACACATATGGTGCAGTTGCTTGTCCAAAGGTCAGAACCATGAATTGCAGCACCTGACTCTTATGCACAAAATGCATAGAGTGGTTGGACACCACCAGTATAGAAATGTGCAGAGAGGAGCCTAACTTGGACATCCAGAATCCTAGTAAAAAAAAATGCTGACTCCAAATAAGGAATGACTCACTTGTGAACCTTGAAAGATCTAGGGAATTGATATAGATGAAAATGATTGATGACTGGATGCCAATCTCCTGTCTTCTTGGGCCAACAAACAGATGAGAATAAAACCCTAGAACCAGACCAACAAAACCCTGATAGTCCTAAAATGATGTTCCGAAATCTGAGGATTTGCAGGAAGCAGAAGCACTACAGGTTGGGTAGATAATGGTGGTGAATATGTGAACTTAATTAATGACTAATCCTGATTCAAGGACCTGCAGTATCCATGAATAAGGTTTACCACACATCCAGGAATTCTCAGAGCCAAGCCCCCCACAGATTCCAAAAGCATACAAAAGTCACCAACACCACTACCAGCATTACAACCAAGTGGTGGAACCCTTAGATATGGACATAATCTATTCTGGATAGAAATAAACTGAGGTGCTGATGTCGGGGGTCAGGACCATCAAATATGGGCAGAACTATGACCCCTTGTATAAACCATGGAAAACTAAGACACCAACATCAACAGGGATGAATGTAGAAGCTGGCAATCAAATCAATTTCCATGTTAACAATGGTTCCAACTCATTTTCAATGAAAGTGGTGATCCTCAGTCTTCCAACAAAGTTTAGAGGCATAATAAATAATTTGGCCAAGTATATAGGGCGAGACGAATCCTAGAAAGTTTTGATCTATTCAGGTTAACTACAGATTCTGCTCTAGACCCTGACGGAGATTCATTCTTTGAGAGTTAGAATATGCTTCCACTTTGCGGTGGTAGGCTAAATCATGTAGTTCCAACAACAGTGGTGGACAAAACATAGCTGTCCCTTCACGTAACTGAGCAGTAAACCTCCTGCATGAACCACGCAATATCAGTGGGTCGGATTGAGAACTAAGCATTCCTTCCCACTTTCATCCATCAAGAAAGGTGCAGGCTCAAAAGCAACTAGAGAAAGACCCAAAACATAACACACTCGACAAACCATCTACAGAAAATGAACTCAAAGCAGCTGATCCCAAACTGTCCTCTTGAGAAGCCAAGAGAGTAAATGAAGGCACAAGAAAAAGCAAATCTAAATTTTCTACAGAATATCCAGGATCGCCCTTAATTACAGCCTTAGAGAAAACCACTGAACTGAATATATGTGTCCATCTTACTACAAACTGATTATCGAACAATGCTAGAAATCAGAGTTGGGATAGGAAAGACCTGATTTGCCTATGTGCAGTAAATAATAATCCGGGAATTCATGCCTTATATCGGTTTGCCAAGGGAAATTTTTTAATATAAAAATCAACTAGGTAACACTTAAAGTATCCTCCACCGATCATGGTACAAAGAAACTCATTTATGAAAGCTTTGTCGAAAAATAGTGCTAATATTATCTAAATGAGGTGCTTATATATAGTACCAGGATAGAGGGCACATTTAAGCAGGTGGAGAGTGTCACGTGACAGATATCTCCAAGAGCAATTAAGTGGGGGAATAAAAGACTGGAGCAAGCGAGAAAAATTCAGACCAATGCTTAGATGAGCAAAGAAAGAATACCCTGGCAGTCAAGTAATAGCTGTAGTGTGAACATAGGTAAGTATGTTTTGGAAGTATGATTTCTTGAAATGCGATACATGCAAAAATTTTTACTTTATCATAGTAAATTCTGTCCATCACCTGATGCCATTTTGTAAAGCATAACTTTTAATGCTTTTAAGCATTACTAACCAACTGAAATATTCATTTAAAAGTAAGCATCATTTATAAAACATGCAGCTAGTCTTTGTAATAAAACAACCACAAAGAACCTAAGTTATGAAACATTTATTGTTAATACAATACTAGTTGGACTGGCACTTAACATTATTGAAGAAACTATGCATAGTCCACACGATCTGCAAAGTGTATGTAGAATGCTTCATTATAAATTTAAAAAGCAAAATCACATGCACCTATGAACTAAAAAGCACATCATCAGTAAAGAAATAGATGGACTGTGTGAGAGTGATGCTACACCAACATTACAGTAGTAACTTTCCAAAAAATGACGGGTTGTATAGGAAACTATGAAAGAAACATAAGATCTAAGGTACAATCAGGAGACATAAAATTGGAGCTTTGTCTATACCTTATAAGACAAAATAGTACAAGACAAATATTAATAGAGAAAGGAATGCAAGATAAATCCCTAGTTTTTTTACATACAGTAATAGAAACAAAACTAACAAAAAAAACTGAAAAATATCATTAAAACTGCTTTATATCTGTCTACATGCAAATTAGAAAGTATTAAGACACTATTACCAATAATTTGTTCCTATGAAATACCTTTGAAAACATCCTTGAAAGTAAAAAAAACCTTTTATTCAAAAGAAAAAAAAAAGATAAAACACACACCTAGTGATTTGACTCTGTCTTCATCCCTCATTTCACCCATCATAGACCCCAGATCGGCTAGAAGATTCTGACTAGACGTTGCCGATCCAGCTGGAAAGAAACATTTTTTTATAGCAGTATATAGATCTCAATATCAGTACAATGTTGAAAACTTATCAAAAACTCCTGAAAATTAACTTTAGTTCTAACAAAACTTTTAAGAAAGATAAATAATAACATAGGCCTGCAAATTTAAACTTCATAAAAGTTGTTTTGATTTTAATAATAGATTTTCCATAATTCAGTTACACAGATTTTGAAAATAATATTTTTTTTTATCACGTAAGGATTTTTAACAAACCAGGAAGAAAAAATACTCTTACTTAGATCCAATTATTTTATATCATTTACCACAATGAACATTATTTATTATTATGTTTGTTAAAAAAAATACAAATAAACTTAAGAGGGAAAACATTTATGTCAAATGAATATACATCCTCATTCATCTGATTTGTTTGTGAAATCTATATCTTTTAGTCTCAAAACTATGTGTTGTGGTATTTCTTTTATGTATTGCATCTGGAGCATCTCATTTCAATGGCCAGCAGTAATTAGCCATCATGCTGATGTTCCACTATCCCTGATACCTCCTCTCCATTTCACTAATGTCTTGATGAAACCTTTCTCCTTGTTCTTCACTGATGGCAACAAGATTTTCAGGTAAATAGTCAATATGTAAGTGTAAGAAATGAACTTTGAAGCTCATATTACAACCCAACTGTTTGAATTTGTGTCCTTGTTGTTTCCTAAAAATTTGTCAATAACATCTTTAAAGGCAATCCACACTTCTTTTTCAACTTTCCTCATTGTCCTTTCAAACTGTTCATCCAAAGTGAATTTCCTAATCTGAGGCTCAACAAAAATCCCTTCTTTAAGTTTTGCTTCTAAAAGAGCTGGGAATTGCCCACACAGATATTTGAAATAGTTGCCATCTTTGTCTAAGGCCTTTACAAACTGCTTCATCAAGCCCAGTTTTATGTGAAGTGGAGATAATAGGAATTTCTTTGTGTCAACCAAACTTTCACATTCAATGTTTTTCAATCCTGGAATCAAGTTGACTCTGCATAGCCATTGCTTCTTTATCCAGTGCTGATTCTGTGCTCTGCTGTCCCATTCAGACAAAAATCATGGAAACTTTGTATAACCAGTTTGTTGATCCAACAATATATAGAGAACCTTTAAGTCTCCACAAAGTAGCCAACCATGTTCTTTGTATTTCACATTATTCAGAAGAAATTTGAGATTTTTGTATGTTTCCTTCAAGTGAACCATATGAGCAATAGGAACAGATATATATATGTTACCATTGTGAAGGAGAACACTTTTAAAGACTTCTTTTGGAGAAATCAATGAACAATCACCACTCACTTCATAGACTGCAGCTCCTAGCATTGGTATTAATTCAGCAATATTGTTGCAATAAACCAGTGAACCTTCTCGCAAAAAGTATGGTATAAACTCTTTCTCACGATTTCTGTACCAGTAAAATGATATACCTAAAGAAAGTAAGTTCTTAGCCCAAAATCTTTCACCAAACCATGACGTTCACTTCTTTGAAAAGTTGTAGTTCACCAGACATTTCAGGTTGAAAACAATCCCTATCATTTCTATTGTCATCAGATGAAACTATCAAGAATCTCTGGTACAGGTACATTGCAACAGGTCTTAGAGCAGATTGAAAGTTTAAATAAGAAATTTCCTTTTTATTTCAAGTGTTATAGCCTTGTACATTACATGAGAAAAAATAGCAGTCATCTACATGGTTTCTAGACTCATGCCAGACTATTGGAATTCCTTCTTACCTTTAGTCCATTGTCTCAACTTTTCAACACAAATGGTGCAAACTTTGTGCAGAGCCCATGATTTGTCTTGGTCCCCAAGTTTTATCCCAAAATACACAACACGTTTTTTAGACAAATTCTGCAATGTTTTATAACAGAATACGTTTGGCTCATTTACACAACCTCTTACTGCTATAACAATGAATAAATATTGAAAAGAAAATATAATGTTAAAAGTGCACACACAAACCGTTTATATACTAGTGGTGAGTCTTGTAGGTTCTAGAACGATCACACCATGACTGGTCTAGAGAAATCTATAGCCAGTGGTTGTCAACATTTTAAGCATAACAAAATGTGACCCAATTTCAATGAAAATGGTTTACTTATGTAAAAGTACATATGATATTTTGTGAAAAATCTGTATGTGATGGAGAAAAATGGATATAATTTTTGGATTCGGCATACAGGAATTACTGTAGAACGTGTAAAAATTATGATAATAAAACCATCACAGACCTATGTAATCAACATTCTTGAACCATATTTATTTTATTATGCTAGCAATACATTACAGTTTTACAGTATAAATTAGCTTATTTGAAAACAGGTCTATGCTTTTCATAACTACACATGCATTTTATCTTGAAAAGTGTCTACTTTTCTATATAATTGTAAGTTCTAAACTTTAATTCTCTCTCTCACAACAAGTTCTGTCAAATCAACCGACCTCATAACCATTTTGTACACGTTATAGTTTCTATACTATAGCTTTTATTACAGTAAGTGCATCTTTACAAAACTTAACAGACTTTGAGTAAACATTACAGGTCCTTTGTATACAAAAAAATCATTTTATTAATTTACTATTTTTGCTAAAGATTTCTTCATGAATATAGATAATCCTTTCTTTTTTACTAGTTTGATTACAAAGTGATTTCCACATTAAGATTAAAAATACTTTTCTTCATCTCAGAAATTTCAAATTTTCTTTGCATAATCTCTAAAACCTCTTAAATAAAACTCTACCCCAATTCTATATAAGGTTGGCCAATTTGACCAACTTCATAACCATCAAAAAAATCTAAATTACCCTTCTTTTCTTTCTAGAATAGCTTTAAATTGTAACATGAAACTACATTTCTTTATCCTAAATGGCTTTAAACTCATTACAGTATACATCTATTTATATTTGAATGTTATTGTTTTATTGCCCTTTGAGCCATGTCTAACTACTACTTGCATCAATATAAGTTGTAAATCACTTGACGAATGTACAGCTCACATTATGCTATTAAATTACAATACGCATCAGCTAGTCGCAAGCATATCTTGTGCAAACTTATTACATTATTCTTACTATCATTTATTTTACCTAATCTAACATTAATTAACCTTTAAACAATTTGTGAAAAAAAGGATGTGATAGATGGGCATGGCAAGTGAGGTCTGATTTTATACTTGATTGCTATGTAACCAAATATGAAGGCTATGAAATTTATGCTCTGCCTGTACAATGACAATATTATAATGAGTAATTTACATTAAATTTCATACTTCTTAAAGAGGCAGTAAATAACTTATAGAAGAAGGAATGCCTAGAGAAAAAATGTTGTAATTCTGATACTAAAGGGAATTCTGGATAATTTCATATATTGCCTTATAAAAATAAGAACTTGAAATTTATAAAATATCAAAATTTGATCTTTAACCTCCCCCTAGTATGAGAATTGTGACATTTGCTCTTTTAGTCTTCAATCTTCTTTTATTTACAACCCCTCCGAGAAATACGGAATTTAATGTAAATTACTCACGCAAAGCATAATTTTTATAGTCTTGTTTATTTACGAAGTCATAAAATAGAAAATTAGACCCACATCTTCTCTGTCACAAATTGCCAATAGTACTCTCTGATGTTTAATACTATACTACTTATAACCAGTAAAAAGTAAAAATTTTAATCTATCAAATGACGTATTATATTACATTATATTCTGTACAGAGAACTGTCTATTTCACTTCCAGTTAAAACTTCATACCCATGGTAAACACATCAACAAGCTTACCTGAATTTTTAACAGCTCTTATGGCATAGTTAGAAATCAAGAAAAATTATGATAGTTATAGAACATTTTCTGCTTTTTATATGCTATTATTCTGTGTTCTTAAGTGCATTATTTAATTAAATAGAAAATTATTTAGTGTAGTCATACCATTAACATAAAAAAGTAGTCTCACATTTCATCGACAGTTGACCTATGTAAGTACTATATATTTTGTTTTCATGTGTATTCTTTATTTATTATAATAAAAGTCACTTAAGTGTAAACATTACAAACTTTTTTTTTATTAGGTTAGTTTAGGTAAAATAAAGAAAAATAATAAAAAAATTTTACCAAGGATACTTACTAGTAGCTGAAGTGTTTTGTAATTCAATATGGTAAACATGAGCTACACGATTACCAAGTGATTTCCACAGTTAAAAGGTCAATAAAACAATAAAATTGAAGTAGAAACAGATGTATACTATTACAAGTTTTAAGCTATTCAGGATAAACAACAGTAGATTCTTGTTACAATCTACAGTCGTTCTATAAAGAAAAAAAGAAATATATATTTATTTAAAATTTTTATGGTGGTTATAAAATTGGTTAAATTGACCAAACGCATATAGGCTTAGAGTACAGAAAATATTCTTACTGAAATAAAAAAACATTTGAAAGTTATTTAGGTTTTAGAGAATATGCAAATGAAATTTGACAATTTTCAGATGCAGAAAAGTATTTTTAATCTTAACATGAAAATCACTTTGCAATCAGAGAAGTCAACACACTGACTGATATATTCAAATAGAAATTTTTAGTAATAATACTTCATTAAAAATTGATTTTTTTTGTCTATAAAAGACTTATAACGTTTATTTAAAGCTTGCAAAATTTTGAGAAATTACACAAAACATATTAAAAGTTATAGCATGGAAACTTAAGGTCAATTTGGGGTCACAAACTCAGTCAAATCAACCGAGCCCATAGTGACAGAGTTAATGACTGTTTGAATTCAGAATAACCTATAGTATTTTGTTAAGATAAATAAGCTATGTTAACAAAATATATGACATCAGTGCACAAATCTTACTTGGTCCCCACAGAAAATTGTTTGCTCAACCAGTAGCTTATGCCTTTAACTGGTGGATTTAACTCTAAAACTGCACTTAAATTTGGGTTCCAGTTAGTATTTTCAGAACTTCATAGTTATACATTTATAAACCAGTTCTATACATTTAACCATTATATAAATCATTAACTCTCTCATCTCACTTATTGTTCTGCTATTAAATATTTCCCATGCTAAAAATAGCATGTGATCATACCACCTTACACTCTGACAGCCACACTGGCACTGCATGGTACCTTATAAGTGTTACTGAACATAAATCATTAAGACACGTACAGTGTCAATGCACTGTCACATTAAAGTAACAATTTTGAAATAATAACAAAACTAAAACATCCAGTAAAACTGTAAATGATGTAACTCTTTATAATGATTTGTCCTGTAGGCCTTTTTACAATTAATTTCTTGAGAAAATTCACTCACAAAGTTCCTACTTACTGGAATGTACACTAGATGATCGATTTCGTCGATATGATGGTGGGATCAATTCTGGTGGTAATGTGGGTTTCAACTTTTCTCCTGCTGAAACACAGTCTGCAAGGTGCATAGCCAGCACAAACTCTTCACATGACAGTCTCCCATCAGAATCGATGTCTGATAAGTTCCTATTCATCAAGACAAAAACATTAAGAAATGTTTCTTAAACCAAACTAAAGTGAAATTATCTTTCCAATAGCAATAAAATGACGAGTGACAATACAAACTGATAAAATGTAGTGATTCAATGACTTATGTATAGTGAATGTTAATGATTTTATACTGTTTAGTTATATTAAATAGCTCAATAAAAACAAAGCATAGTCTATACAAAAATAAGATAAATATCGTCACTGTTTATTAATACTCCAAATTTGAAAAGAAATAGTAGATAAATTTCTGTAAAATGATTTAATGAAAAATTGACATTTTTAGTTTAAACTACTTACATAAAAACTAATCTTGTGGATAAATATCACATACAAGTATTTTCTCAATAAGATAAGCATTGTTTTGATAGCAAAATGTATGAAATCAAGATAGGGTTGTGAAACCAGTAAACTGTATGATTATGATGCTAATATGCTGTTTAGTTACTCTACAATATGCAAAATCAAGAATTAAATTAGTTTTATGATAACAAACAGCACTGAGTATTAAAAAATGAAGACAGAACTCAATACGGCTTTAGTTGCTAAAACCAGAACCTTACCAGATTAGGGCTAAGACAGCATGTGGCAGACCTGTCTGAATCAGGATATTTCGAGCCTGAGGCCCAGTAAGATACCCACTTCGAGTTCGGTCATGGGTGTTAAACATTTGGGTATACTTGAGTTTGGAAGATTGAGGTATCATCCACTCTCCCATGCTGACCGAAGCCCTGAGAAAAAAAAGAAAATAACATTAAATTGAACAAAATTAAGAAAATACAACCAAAACTAATACAGTTTAAATGTGATAACCAAATCTGAATTCCACATATTTCAAAGATATAACAAGAAAAAACATAAGCCTAGAAAAAGATGTATTTCATAATGCATAATTTCATGAAATAATGAAATGATATGTAGCTCCAAGATATATAGTTGCTAAATAATTCTGTAGGCAAATAACATTTTTAATCCTTCAAATACTGAACAAGTCTAATTTAGAAAATAGGCACATAATTATCTTCAAACTTCAATACAAAATCGACCAACCTCGTAACCACCATAAAAAATTAGGTAATAAGATTTAAGTGTGTTTTTTACTCTTAATATAGCAGCACAATGTGTCAGAAAACAAATTACAACACTTCCACCTATCAGCTACCTCATTTTCATATTTAATTTAGGACAACATGTAGAAAATCAAATTTGAAAGTGTACATTTTTTATGTTATGTACTGCCATGCAGGTGTGCCTACTGACGAACAAGGAAAATTCTAGTTTCACATTACATTTGAATGTTGTTGTATTTTGTTACATGTTTTTGAGTTCTTTAATATTTCATCTAGTTCTTCTTTTACAGGTTGCATACTTCCAAAACACTGAATATTTTATTTACAATACTTGACTTGTAGAAGTTTGTTGTGGTGTGAGTTTTGTTCAAACTAAATTATTTACTATACTTACTGCAATAACGATATAGGGGTTATTCTATAAAATATTTTAATTTTTCAATGTATGGGAAGGTTTAATACGAAATTGGTTTGCTTTTGGAGTACTAAGTTAGCATGCCAAGTTTGGTCTGGGTCGGTAAATTCACTTAGGAGAAGATGCATCCACAAACAGACAAAAAGTTTTCCTTAATAGTGGATAGTTATTGCACTGATATGGCTTAATATGTATAGTGCATTTGTGAAGAACACATGCACCCCACTTTATATACTAAGCTCTGTCTTGCTTTGCTCGCCAGAACTGGATAAAGTAAAACAAGTGTGTGTGTGTGTGTCTATATAAACGAAGTATAATTTTCAACTGTGATTTACTTGTCACCCTTACTTCCAACAGAAATTACTATACCTAAAAAAGAATAAGTTATCAGTAAGTTTGCATACAGTGCTCAACACTTCCCATTGTTTAGTACTAATTTCCTTACCATCATTTTTATTTTTTAAATCATTGTCATGATTAATTCTGAAGATGTAAATTACCACAATTCAAATTCTTTTTCAGAACTAGTTCAAAAAGTATAGGGGTATCAGTTATTTCCAATCATCATGTTGTATAATAAAATCTAGCTAAACATCCCACACAGATACTTCTCTGCATTCACTTTACAATCCAATACAGTGGTTTTACATGCAGAAAACTATGACAACAATGAGCACCACTTCTCCTATGCAACTGTACAGGTTTTACTATAATTACAGTGCAGAACAATACATAATTCAACCTTCAAAACTTGAGCTTATACAGAAGCTCATTAATTCCACTGAATATGGCTTTTAGTAAGCCAACACTATAAATTACTTACAAATTCAAAAATAATAATAATAAGTGAAAAAAAAGTCGGAGATTGCACTCAAAGCAATGTGTTATGTCAGTTCTTTCACTACATAAGCCCTCAGTTAAAAAAGTTTCAATTAAAGGGAAAAAATCCACATTATACAAATATTGTAGTCTTACTCATAGAGTCTGAGGACTTGTAGGACTAACATGACTGAGTGAGATTCAAGCATCATAGAATCTCTGCTTCCAACATCTTCTATGTTGCCATCCCAAGGTCTTGAACTCCATCATTTTTTTTTTTGTAGGCGATGATGCTATTTTGCTGTTGCCAAACAATATTTATTTATTTATTCTTCAAAGCAAGTCTGGTGCTTGCTGCTTATAGCATGGCTATGTAATACTTCCATATTTGTGTTTGACAAATCTAGTTTTGTACCACACAAAATAAACTTTGCATGTCTGTCATCTCTCCAGAACAACCACAATTAGTCAAATATCACTGAAAATGCACTTTCCAGGCACGGAATGTTAAAATCCAGTTTATACATATGATCAACACTCACTTCCACAGAGCCTAGCTACTAATCAGGAACACTTCATAAGTGAATTATGCACTAACCACTGTAAGTAACCATGGCAACATCACTCCAGTCAACCAAATATGCCAGGAAAAAAACATACTGTGTAACTCGAATGGTGAACATAAGAGAATAAAAAAAAATCATTTGAGCAGAAGGCAAATCAAAAGTCCACGAAGACTACTGTCTGCCTACATATTCTACAATAACTTTCACCTGATAAGATTTGACCTGACCCTAGTGTGAGAAATGTGATATTTTCTCTAGGCATCCCCTCTTCTATATTTTATTCACCACCCCTCCAATAAGTATGAAATTTAACATAAATTACTCATTATGAAATTGTCATTTCACAGATAAACCATAACTTTTATAGCCTTCAATCCTGTTTAGTTACACAGCCATCAAATAGAAAATTAGACCCCTCTTGCCACATCCTCTCTTTCAGGATTTGTTAATAGTTCTCTCTTACATTTAATTCTATATTACTTATAACCAATAGAAAGCCAAGGTTTTCATCTATCAAAGGACATATTACATTACGTTGTTATCTGAACAGAAAATTGTCATTTTCTCTATTAGTACAAGCTTTGTTCCCAAGGGAAACATAACGACTAGCTTGGATGAACTTGTAATGGCTCTTGCCACAGTTAGAAAGCCAGAAAAATTGTGATAGTTATGGGAAATTGTCTGCTTTTTGCATGTTATTATTCTATGTTCTTTGGTGCATTATTTAATGCATTACTACCATCAGTATAAAAAAGTAAGTTTAAGTGTCATTGACAATCAACAGCAAAAAATTAAGATCCAGGTGAGTACTTTATTTCTTGTTTTTCATGTGTATTCTTTATTCACTATTATAAAAGTAACTAAAATGTAAAAATAGGTTAGTTAAAGTTATATTAGGTAAAATAAGTAATAATAATAATAATACAATATAATAAGTAGCTCGTAGGTAATGTAATTCAATAACATAATGTAAGCTCCACATTTCCCAAGTGATTTACAACTTATAATGGCAAAATAGAAGTTAGATACAATTCAAAAGGCAATAAAACAATAATATTTAAGTATAAATAGATGTATACTGTTATGAGTTAAAAGCTACTTAGGATAAATGAATGTAGTTTCATGTTACAATTTGAAGTCATTTTATAAAGAAAAAAGTGCAATTTAGATTTATTTCAATTTTTTTTTTGTTACGAAGTCAGTCAAATAAGGTAGAAAAAATATAAAGCTTCATTGAAAACAAACATCTGAAATGTATTTAGGAGGTTTTAGAGATTAGTCAAATGAAATTTGAATCTTAACATGAAAATGACTTTACATGCAGACTAGTCAAAAAAGAAATACTCAATATATTCATGGAGAAATCTTTTTTAAAAATACTTTACAAAAAATAAGATTTTTTGTATGTGGAGGACTTATAATATTTACTGAAAGTCTGCAAAATTTTGTGAAGATATATATATATATATATATATTATATTAAAATTTAATGGTATCAAAACTAAAAACACTTTAAACGAGTACAGAGAAGTCACGTGGTTGGTTAAATTGACCAAGCCCGTGATGTCAGTGGAAACGTAATGAACAAAAATCTTGTGTTGCAAAATTCATATCTGCAAAAACTGTAGCCAAAGTCAGCAAGTTGAACACGTGAAACAAAAGAAAAGTTGAAGATGAATCTTTAACTCTTTCCATACAGGTTCTGTTGATGTAACCAACCTTTTAACCACAAAGTGACCATCAGTTTCCAAACTATAGCTTTTAATATGTTTTATGTAGCATCATGAAATTTGGCAAGCTAAAATAAACATGTCTTTTGTACATGAAAAATCAGATTTTTCAATTAATTATTTTTTACTAAATATTTGTCTGTGAATATAAATGAGTCAAGAGAGTTAACTTTTTATGCTAAGATGAAGAATACTTTTCTTCCTCTCAAAATTTTCAAATTTCATTTGTGTAATCTCTAAAATCTCTTAATATAAAATTTGTTTTTAGTATAACTTTATTTTATATGATATTTTCTATACCCTAACTCTACATGGATTTGGTTAATTTAACTGACTTTGCAACCACCATAAATATAGGAAATAAAGCTAAATTACCCCTTTTTTGACTTTCTAAAATGACTGCATCTTGTAACACAAAACCACAATTGTTTATTCTCAATAGCTTAATACTCATAACAGTGTACACTTGTTTATACTTAATTTTATTTTTTTACTGCCCTTGGACCATGTCTAACTAATAATCCCACCACTCAAGCTAATCATAAATCATTTGGCAAATGTGTAGCTCATGTTACCATGTAAAATGACGTAATATAAGTTGCTCATGAGCATACCTTGCAAATAATTATTTTTTTCATTATGTTTCCTAATCTAACCTTATAAGTTTCTACAAGAAACACAAGATAAATAGTACTTACATAAAACCTCTTGTTCTTTTGCTGTTGGTTGCCAATGAAATTTAAACCTACTCTTTTTTTGTAATGATGATACTAGAATACTACATTACTTTTATTTAAGTAAATAATAAACCTCAGAACAGAATAACAGCATGAACAAAGCAAACAATGTCCTCTTATTATCATATTTTAATTGGCTTTCTAACTAAGACAAATGCTGCTCAATCTGAATACTGAGAGATAAACACTGAAACTGAAGATAAAATAGACAATCGATAGATTAAAACTCTGCCTTTCTATTGATTATAAATTATATAGTACAAAATGTCAGAAAGAATTATTTGAAATTTGTGAAGAAAAGAAAGAAAGGATGAGGCAAGTGGGTTTGATTTTATAGTTTATGACTCTGTAAGTAAGATTGAGGGCTATAAAAATTAGACTTTATTTTAGTAATATCTATATCACAATAAGTAATCTATGTTAAATTCACACTTCAGGGAGGGGTGGTGTATAAATTAGAGAAGAAGTCTATAGTTTGACCAAATTAGAAACTCAAAGTACCGATATTCACAAGCTAGAATATAAAATAGGAGCCTCTTTTCAATTTACTAAGATATTGCTCATGTAATAATCAAACAGCGGCACCCCACCCACCTATTTCCATTTTTGGAAATGCTCCCTTATATACACTTACTTCTATACATGACATGAATAACCAATCGGAAGCTCAGAATGTCCCTCTAGCAGAGATGAAAGTGTCCCTTTCCTTAAAATCCTGAAAATAATTGAAGCCAAGTAAGGGGGGTCCGGCACCCAAAATCCTGCATTTTGATGCATTTTAGTACTTAAAATTCACTTCAACAAGTTA